ATGTATCCGGATTGTTCTGTTGATTACTCATGTATCCGGATTGTTTAGTTGATTACTCATGTATCCGGATTGTTTTATTCATTACTCATGTATCCGGATTGTTTAGTTGATTACTCATGTATCCGGATTGTTTTATTCATTACTCATGTATCCGGATTGTTTAGTTCATTACTCATGTATCCGGATTGTTTAGTTCATTACTCATGTATCCGGATTGTTTAGTTCATTACTCATGTATCCGGATTGTTTTGTTCATTACTCATGTATCCGGATTGTTTAGTTCATTACTCATGTATCCGGATTGTTTAGTTCATTACTCATGTATCCGGATTGTTTTGTTCATTACTCATGTATCCGGATTGTTTAGTTCATTACTCATGTATCCGGATTGTTTTATTCATTACTCATGTATCCGGATTGTTTAGTTGATTACTCATGTATCCGGATTGTTTTATTCATTACTCATGTATCCGGATTGTTTAGTTCATTACTCATGTATCCGGATTGTTTAGTTCATTACTCATGTATCCGGATTGTTTAGTTCATTACTCATGTATCCGGATTGTTTTGTTCATTACTCATGTATCCGGATTGTTTAGTTCATTACTCATGTATCCGGATTGTTTAGTTCATTACTCATGTATCCGGATTGTTTAGTTGATTACTCATGTATCCGGATTGTTTTATTCATTACTCATGTATCCGGATTGTTTTATTCATTGCTCATGTATCCGGATTGTTTTATTCATTGCTCATGTATCCGGATTGTTTTATTCATTGCTCATGTATCCGGATTGTTTTATATTGCTCGTTTATCTGAATTATTTGTTCGGATCGTATATCCGGATAAGCGAACATTTCCACGTTACAAGCGTGTGTCGTGTACGTCACGTGTCACCACCTGTAACTCTACCCAGCACGCTTAGGCACCATGTGGGATGGGACGGGGGGAAGGAATGGTGCCCAACCACTTGGTGGACGGTCGGGGATTGAACGCAGACCTGCATGACGCGAGACCGTCGCTCTTCCGTGCAGCCCAAGTGGTTGAGCGACCAGTATAGACCCCGTCCAGGGCTCGAACCTGTGCTAGCATCTCTGACTCACACAACTGCTCAGTTTTGGAGAGCATTATATTCCAGTGAGCACAGGAGTGAGTCCTGTGAGTTCTTGGAGGCTAATTGGGTGTAGTTGGAGGCTAATTGGGTGTAGTTGCAGGCTAATTGGGTGTAGTTGGAGGCTAATTGGGTGTAGTTGGAGGCTAATTGGGTGTAGTTGGAGGCTAATTGGGTGTAGTTGGAGGCTAATTGGGTGTAGTTGGAGGCTAATTGGGTGTAGTTGGAGGCTAATTGGGTGTAGTTGCAGGCTAATTGGGTGTAGTTGGAGGCTAATTGGGTGTAGTTGGAGGCTAATTGGGTGTAGTTGGAGGCTAATTGGGTGTAGTTGGAGGCTAATTGGGTGTAGTTGGAGGCTAATTGCCTCGTCCCGCACGCTGGGCTTAATTAACAGTTCAATTGAAGTTTGTGAGCGTCTGTCCGGCGCTTATAAAATAGGTAACTCTTCTCCAAGTACTTGGCTGTGTGTGTTGGGTTACTGATTGTTGGGTTGTCTGTGTGAACTATGGTGGTTTAGTGCTGTTTGGAGGGCACAAGGTAACTACCGGGACCCACGACACTAACTACCGGGACCCACGACACTAACTACCGGGACCCACACTAACTACCGGGACCCACACTAACTACCGGGACCCACGACACTAACTACCGGGACCCACACTAACTACCGGGACCCACGACACTACCTACCGGGACCCACGACACTACCTACCGGGACCCACGACACTAACTACCGGGACCCACACTAACTACCGGGACCCACGACACTACCTACCGGGACCCACGACACTACCTACCGGGACCCACGACACTACCTACCGGGACCCACGACACTACCTACCGGGACCCACGACACTACCTACCGGGACCCACGACACTACCTACCGGGACCCACGACACTACCTACCGGGACCCACGACACTACCTACCGGGACCCACGACACTAACTACTGGGACCCACGACACTACCTACCGGGACCCACGACACTAACTACTGGGACCCACGACACTAACTACCGGGACCCACGACACTACCTACCGGGACCCACGACACTACCTACCGGGACCCACGACACTACCTACCGGGACCCACGACACTAACTACTGGGACCCACGACACTAACTACTGGGACCCACGACACTAACTACCGGGGCCCACGACACTAACTACCGGGACCCACGACACTAACTACCGGGACCCACGACACTAACTACCGGGACCCACGACACTAACTACCGGGACCCACGACACTAACTACCGGGACCCACGACACTACCTACCGGGACCCACGACACTAACTACCGGGACCCACGACACTAACTACCGGGGCCCACGACACTACCTACCGGGACCCACGACACTAACTACCGGGGCCCACGACACTACCTACCGGGACCCACGACACTAACTACCGGGACCCACGACACTAACTACCGGGGCCCACCTGACACTAACTACCGGGACCCACGACACTACCTACCGGGACCCACGACACTAACTACCGGGACCCACGACACTACCTACCGGGACCCACGACACTAACTACCGGGACCCACGACACTAACTACCGGGACCCACGACACTAACTACCGGGACCCACGACACTAACTACCGGGACCCACGACACTAACTACCGGGACCCACGACACTAACTACCATGACCAACACTAACTACCGGGACCCACGACACTAACTACCGGGACCCACGACACTAACTACCGGGACCCACGACACTAACTACCGGGACCCACGACACTAACTACCGGGACCCACGACACTAACTACCATGACCAACACTAACTACCGGGACCCACGACACTAACTACCGGGACCCACGACACTAACTACCGGGATCCACACTAACTACCGGGACCCACAACACTAACTACCGGGACCCACAACACTAACTACCGGGACCCACGACACTAACTACCGGGACCCACAACACTAACTACCGGGACCCACGACACTAACTACCGGGACCCACGACACTAACTACCGGGACCCACGACACTAACTACCATGACCAACACTAACTACCGGGACCCACGACACTAACTACCGGGACCCACAACACTAACTACCGGGACCCACAACACTAACTACCGGGACCCACAACACTAACTACCGGGACCCACAACACTAACTACCGGGACCCACACCACTAACTACCATGACCAACACTAACTACCGGGACCCACAACACTAACTACCGGGACCCACAACACTAACTACCGGGACCCACAACACTAACTACCGGGACCCACGACACTAACTACCGGGACCCACAACACTAACTACCATGACCAACACTAACTACCGGGACCCACGACACTAACTACCGGGACCCACGACACTAACTACCGGGACCCACGACACTAACTACCGGGACCCACGACACTAACTACCGGGACCCACGACACTAACTACCGGGACCCACGACACTAACTACCAGGACCCTCAACACTAACTACCGGGACCCACGACACTAACTACCGGGACCCACAACACTAACTACCGGGACCCACAACACTAACTACCGGGACCCACAACACTAACTACCGGGACCCACGACACTAACTACCGGGACCCACAACACTAACTACCGGGACCCACAACACTAACTACCGGGACCCACAACACTAACTACCGGTACCCACGACACTAACTACCGGGACCCACGACACTAACTACCGGGACCCACGACACTAACTACCGGGACCCACGACACTAACTACCGGGACCCACGACACTAACTACCGGGACCCACGACACTAACTACCATGACCAACACTAACTACCGGGACCCACGACACTAACTACCGGGACCCACGACACTAACTACCAGGACCCTCAACACTAACTACCAGGACCCTCAACACTAACTACCGGGACGACACTAACGACACTAACTACCGGGACCCACGACACTAACTACCGGTACCCACGACACTAACTACCGGTACCCACGACACTAACTACCGGGACCCACGACACTAACTACCGGGACCCACGACACTAACTACCGGGACCCACGACACTAACTACCGGGACCCACGACACTAACTACCGGGACCCACAACACTAACTACCGGGACCCACGACACTAACTACCGGGACCCACAACACTAACTACCGGGACGCAGTTATAGGAAGTAGTTCATAATAAGATACTTTGATTTTTTTTAATGTGAACTTCGTATATGTGTCCAGTTATTAATGTCAAATATTGTATTTTTTACTAATAATTTAAAAAAAATAATTAAATTTCGTGTTTATTGTCTTACAGAAAAAGAATTGAATTTGTTATTTTAAGGCATAATTTTATGTCATGGTTTAACTGATTATTTCAGGAAAATTGTATTCGTAAGGTTTTTAAACATTTTAAAAATTTTGATTTCGTATCATAGTAATTGGTAAAATGCAATAGTCAATTTAATTTTTTTTAACAAATTTGGTTTTGTATTGAGTTTGCAACACTAGAATGATGGTAGTGAAGGTTCAGACTAGAGGTAAACATTGACTATTTTTTTAAACATTTAAAAATTACTTTTCTTCTCCTCCGCAGGTGTGAGGCTGCGGACTGACTACGAACCCCTGCAACACCTGCCACCCCTGCAACACCTGCAACACCTGCCACACCTGCAACCCCTGCAACCCCTGCAACACCTGCAACCCCTGCAACCCCTGCAACACCTGCAACACCTGCAACACCTGCAACACCTGCAACCCCTGCAACCCCTGCAACACCTGCAACACCTACAACCCCTGCAACCCCTGCAACCCCTGCAACCCCTGCAACACCTGCAACACCTGCCACACCTACAACACCTGCAACACCTGCAACACCTGCAACCCCTACAACACGTACAACCCCTACAACCCCTACAACACCTGCAACACCTGCTGGTGATGAAGCTGAGGTTGTGAAGGGGTTGAGCAGCCACTAGAGAGAAGGGTTCACCCAAGACCCCGCAAGTTATCGTTGATGATGGAGAACCAGACTGTGATGGAGCCAGAGGACTCCATCCCTCTTAACTGCTCCTTCTTGCTGTACATTGACCCTTACAACGGCTCCGAGTTCCTCAACGACACCAACTGTAGTTTGGGTTTGTTTGAGGGAGGCGTGAGCCGCATGAGCACAGCGGCTGTGGTCATCACACAGCTCTTCTACGCCATCACGTGTGTGGTGGGACTGTGCGGCAACACCCTGGTGATATACGTCGTAACGAGGTTCTCCAAGATGCAAACAGTGACCAACCTCTACATCCTCAACCTCGCTATAGCCGACGAGTTGTTTGTAGTTGGTATCCCCTTCTTAATGACCACTTCGATGCTGGGCCACTGGCCCTTCGGCTCCATTATGTGTAAGTTATATATGATAACGACTTCGCTCAACCAGTTTACCAGTTCGTTGTTCCTGACTATCATGAGTGCTGACCGGTATATCGCTGTCTGTCACCCTATCAGTTCCCCTAGGTTCAGGACGCCTATGATCTCCAAGTTGGTGTCCTTGACGGCTTGGACTCTCTCCGCCCTGATGATAGTGCCAGTGTTCATGTACTCGAACACACTCGAGGATAACGGGCTAGATAACTGTAATATCTTCTGGCCTGAGAGTGAAGGCGTGCGAGGGGAGATAGCTTTTATCAGGTATTCCTTCGCCCTGGCGTTCGGGGCGCCTCTGGCACTCATATTCATCTTCTACAGCTTAGTCTTGCACAAGCTTAAGACCGTCGGACCAAAGTCCAAATCGAAAGAGAAGAAAAAGTCCCGCCAGAAGGTGACGCGGTTGGTGTTAACGGTCATTACCGTCTACGTCATCTGTTGGCTCCCGTACTGGGTGCTGCAGCTGACTCTCATCCTCAGCACGCCCAAACAAGGCCACACTAACTTCATGGTTGTCCTCTTCATGATATCCTCGTGTCTATCCTACATCAACTCAGCCCTCAACCCCATCCTCTACGCCTTCCTCAGCGACAACTTCAAGAAAAGCTTCATGAAAGCTTGCACCTGCGCCGCCAGGATGGATGTCAACAACGCACTCAAGCCTGAGAACTCCATGTTTCCCCTACGGCAGCGAGGAGCGTCTACGAGGTCTCGCATCACCCGGAGAGACAGAGAGTCCGGGGAAGGCACCACCTCGCAGTGTGGCCTGAGCAAGGAGCCCTCCACTGCCCTCACCACCTCAAACTCTAGACTCAACCACAACCTGGTCATTATTGGTGATGAACTCACAGTCAGAAATGGCCGCTCGCCCGGACCACGCCTTCCTGATCTACTCCAGTAGAGTGCGTCTCCACTCTACCACCTGTAGAGTGCGTCGACTCCACCTGTAGAGTGTAGGGGTCGCTACTGTCAGAAAGCGTCGTCTAAACCAATAGAGTGCGTCATCTTCCAGGTATAAGAGTGTACACTCGCCTCTCATCTTATATAATGTGTGGGCTGCTCTGCCACCAAGATTAGCGTGACAGGTGGCGTGACAGCCGTGACAGGTACTGTGACAGCCGTGACAGGTACTGTGACAGCCGTGACAGGTACTGTGAAAGCCGTGACAGGTACTGTGAAAGCCGTGACAGGTGTCATGATAACTGTGACAGGTACTGTGACAGCCGTGACAGGTGTCATGATAACTGTGACAGGTACTGTGACAGCCGTGACAGGTGTCATGATAACTGTGACAGGTACTGTGACAGCCGTGACAGGTGTCATGATAACTGTGACAGGTACTGTGACAGCCGTGACAGGTGTCATGATAACTGTGACAGGTACTGTGACAGCCGTGACAGGTACTGTGACAGCCGTGACAGGTGTCATGATAACTGTGACAGGTACTGTGACAGCCGTGACAGGTACTGTGACAGCCGTGACAGGTGTCATGATAACTGTGACAGGTACTGTGACAGCCGTGACAGGTACTGTGAAAGCCGTGACAGGTGTCATGATAACTGTGACAGGTACTGTGACAGCCGTGACAGGTGTCATGATAACTGTGACAGGTACTGTGACAGCCGTGACAGGTGTCATGATAACTGTGACAGGTACTGTGACAGGTGTCCTTCTACGGCTGAACTCGTATCTCAATAGCTATATGGACACCTTAGCATTCAACACGCCATCCTGTTGTTAGTTGAGTACTTCACCTGCCACCACCTGTTGTTAGTTGAGTACTTCAGCTGCCACCATCTGTTGTTAGTTGAGTACTTCACCTGCCACCACCTGTTGTTAGTTGAGTACTTCACCTGCCACCATCTGTTGTTAGTTGAGTACTTCAGCTGCCACCACCTGTTGTTAGTTGAGTACTTCAGCTGCCACCACCTGTTGTTAGTTGAGTACTTCACCTGCCACCACCTGTTGTTAGTTGAGTACTTCACCTGCCACCACCTGTTGTTAGTTGAGTACTTCACCTGCCACCACCTGTTGTTAGTTGAGTACTTCACCTGCCACCATCCTGTTGTTAGTTGAGTACTTCACCTGCCACCACCTGTTGTTAGTTGAGTACTTCACCTGCCACCATCCTGTTGTTAGCTGAGTACTTCACCTGCCACCACCTGTTGTTAGTTGAGTACTTCACCTGCCACCACCTGTTGTTAGTTGAGTACTTCACCTGCCACCATCCTGTTGTTAGTTGAGTACTTCACCTTCCACCACCTGTTGTTAGTTGAGTACACTTATTGGAGAAATTATGTGTGTGTTGGAGAGTCAATAATAATCATAGCAGATGGTTCAATGACTTTAGTTGGGTGAGTCAAGACAGTGACAAAACAGTGACATGACAAGTGACATGACAAGTGACATGACAGGGGGATCACCCTGACACTTCAAGATATTAACTACCACTGAGCTTATTAAGGCAGATTATATGCTAAGGCAATATTTTGATCAATTCAAGAATATTATGAACACAGAATAGCAACTGGCCTTACAAAGCCCCTCTACTGGGACCAGGCTCTGTGGTAGAGCCTGGTCCCTCTACTGGGACCAGGCTCTGTGGTAGAGCCTGGTCCCTCTACTGGGACCAGGCTCTGTGGTAGAGCCTGGTCCCTCTACTGGGACCAGGCTCTGTGGTAGAGCCTGGTCCCTCTACTGGGACCAGGCTCTGTGGTAGAGCCTGGCCCCTCTACTGGGACCAGGCTCTGTGGTAGAGCCTGGTCCCTCTACTGGGACCAGGCTCTGTGGTAGAGCCTGGCCCCTCTACTGGGACCAGGCTCTGTGGTAGAGCCTGGCCCCTCTACTGGGACCAGGCTCTGTGGTAGAGCCTGGCCCCTCTACTGGGACCAGGCTCTGTGGTAGAGCCTGGCCCCTCTACTGGGACCAGGCTCTGTGGTAGAGCCTGGCCCCTCTACTGGGACCAGGCTCTGTGGTAGAGCCTGGCCCCTCTACTGGGACCAGGCTCTGTGGTAGAGCCTGGTCCCTCTACTGGGACCAGGCTCTGTGGTAGAGCCTGGTCCCTCTACTGGGACCAGGCTCTGTGGTAGAGCCTGGTCCCTCTACTGGGACCAGGCTCTGTGGTAGAGCCTGGCCCCTCTACTGGGACCAGGCTCTGTGGTAGAGCCTGGTCCCTCTACCGGGAACAGGCTCTGTGGCAGAGCCTGGTCCCTCTACCGGGAACAGGCTCTGTGGTAGAGCCTGGTCCCTCTACTGGGACCAGGATCTGTGGTAGAGCCTGGCCCCTCTACTGGGACCAGGCTCTGTGGTAGAGCCTGGCCCCTCTACTGGGACCAGGCTCTGTGGTAGAACCTGGTCCCTCTACCGGGAACAGGCTCTGTGGTAGAGCCTGGTCCCTCTACCGGGAACAGGCTCTGTGGCAGAGCCTGGTCCCTCTACCGGGAACAGGCTCTGTGGTAGAGCCTGGCCCCTCTACCGGGAACAGGCTCTGTGGCAGAGCCTGGTCCCTCTACCGGGAACAGGCTCTGTGGTAGAGCCTGGTCCCTCTACCGGGAACAGGCTCTGTGGTAGAGCCTGGTCCCTCTACCGGGAACAGGCTCTGTGGTAGAGCCTGGTCCCTCTACCGGGAACAGGCTCTGTGGTAGAGCCTGGTCCCTCTACCGGGAACACCTTTGAGCCAAACTCACCGTCCTGATTAGCATACCAACACACCCACATTAAAATGTACTCTCTGACTAGACTTGGTGAAAACTCCTTCACTGTGGCCAATCAGGGAGCAGGATACACACTAGTCCTGCTAAACTACCAATCAGGAAGGCAGTCTGTGCCTCTGGGCACCATCCTGGCTCTAGGCTGTGAAATTGGCCTCACTGGTTGTTAACTAAAGACGGAAGATTATCTCGGTATCTGATTGGTAACATCAAGGCTTCGCCTGTTCAAACTTGTCACCTGTCAAGGCTGGCATGGCATGGCTCAGCTGTCAAGGCTGGCGTGGCATGGGTCACCTGTCAAGGCTGGCAAGGCATGGGTAACCTGTCAAGACTGGAATCTCATGGATCACCTGTCAAGGCTGGCAAGGCATGGGTCACCTGTCAAGACTGGAATCTCATGGATCACCTGTCAAGACTGGAATCTCATGGGTCACCTGTCAAGGCTGGCATGGCATGGGTCACCTGTCAAGGCTGGCATATCATGGGTCACCTGTCAAGGCTGCTAGTGGTGGTAGGTGAGTAATTAGTACACAGAGATGGTGGTTCAGTAAACAGTTCATAACACCATTAAAGGGTTTAATGTAATATTTTCACCTACGGGTCAGGTCAGAAAGGATATCGGAAGCGCCAGGTTGTCGGCCCTGTAGGTCCTCCAGAGTCACACCTCTCAGGTGTTAATTACAACAGGTTGCCTTCGGGTCAGGTCCTGTGAGGTGACCTCGCTTCTCCTAAACTGTTAATTGCAACTGTTTGGCTGCGTTGTTTTCCATCAAACAAGCCGCTATCTAGGTGTGGTTGGTAGATAGCCAGAGGCTCTCTCCTGGTAGGCGGAGTTTGGCCCCCCTGTTGCCCCATTAATACCGACATATATTGTGTTTCCTAACTTACGTGTTGTGTGATCTCCAGAAGTTGTCAGCCGTAGGTGCTGTCAACCCCTTGTGTGATGACTCAAATTAGTGTATTATCTTTACAATCGAATATCAGGTGATTTGGTTGAATTATGAGTGAATATACAATGGTAAATATATAATTGATTAACTTACTTTTTAAAATTGCATTTAATTGTGATCCCTAGATCTTGGATATCCTATGATATAATGAAAGCTAGAGTGGAGAGCTAGAGTACAGGCTTACAGTGGAGAGCTAGAGTACAGGCTTACAGTGGAGAGCTAGAGTACAGGCTTACAGTGGAGAGCTAGAGTACAGGCTTACAGTGGAGAGCTAGAGTACAGGCTTACAGTGGAGAGCTAGAGTACAGGCTTACAGTGGAGAGCTAGAGTACAGGCTTACAGTTGATACATGATAACACGAGGTAATATTATGGTGCAGACAGGGTTCCATTCCTTGTCTTAGAGCTCATTATTGAGTGGATGGTGGCAGCACTCTCTTTAATGTATATTATTGAGTGGATGGTGGCAGCACTCTCTTTAATGTATATTATTGAGTGGATGGTGGCAGCACTCTCTTTAATATATATTATTGAGTGGATGGTGGCAGCACTCTCTTTAATGTATATTATTGAGTGGATGGTGGCAGCACTCTCTTTAATGTATATTATTGAGTGGATGGTGGCAGCACTCTCTTTAATGTATATTATTGAGTGGATGGTGGCAGCACTCTCTTTAATATATATTATTGAGTGGATGGTGGCAGCACTCTCTTTAATATATATTATTGAGTGGATGGTGGCAGCACTCTCTTTAATGTATATTATTGAGTGGATGGTGGCAGCACTCTCTTTAATGTATATTATTGAGTGGATGGTGGCAGCACTCTCTTTAAGTTATATTCACCTTTTTACTGTACTCTTGTAATACTTCTACTACTCTACTTTACTTTTTAAGTGGTGGTGGGTCAGTATACAGTACACAGTGGTGGTGGGTCAGTATACAGTACACAGTGGTGGTGGTGGTGGGTCAGTATACAGTACACAGTGGTGGTGGTGGGTCAGTATACAGTACACAGTGGTGGTGGTGGGTCAGTATACAGTACACAGTGGTGGTGGGTCAGTATACAGTACACAGTGGTGGTGGTGGGTCAGTATACAGTACACAGTGGTGGTGGGTCAGTATACAGTACACAGTGGTGGTGGGTCAGTATACAGTACACAGTGGTGGTGGGTCAGTATACAGTACACAGTGGTGGTGGTGGGTCAGCATACAGTACACAGTGGTGGTGGTGGGTCAGTATACAGTACACAGTGGTGGTGGTGGGTCAGTATACAGTACACAGTGGTGGTGGGTCAGTATACAGTACACAGTGGTGGTGGGTCAGTATACAGTACACAGTGGTGGTGGGTCAGTATACAGTACACAGTGGTGGTGGGTCAGTATACAGTACACAGTGGTGGTGGTGGGTCAGTATACAGTACACAGTGGTGGTGGGTCAGTATACAGTACACAGTGGTGGTGGTGGGTCAGTATACAGTACACAGTGGTGGTGGGTCAGTATACAGTACACAGTGGTGGTGGTGGGTCAGTATACAGTACACAGTGGTGGTGGGTCAGTATACAGTACACAGTGGTGGTGGTGGGTCAGTATACAGTACACAGTGGTGGTGGGTCAGTATACAGTACACAGTGGTGGTGGTGGGTCAGTATACAGTACACAGTGGTGGTGGGTCAGTATACAGTACACAGTGGTGGTGGTGGGTCAGTATACAGTACACAGTGGTGGTGGTGGGTCAGTATACAGTACACAGTGGTGGTGGTGGTGGGTCAGTATACAGTACACAGTGGTGGTGGTGGTGGGTCAGTATACAGTACACAGTGGTGGTGGTGGGTCAGTATACAGTACACAGTGGTGGTGGGTCAGTATACAGTACACAGTGGTGGTGGTGGGTCAGTATACAGTACACAGTGGTGGTGGGTCAGTATACAGTACACAGTGGTGGTGGTGGGTCAGTATACAGTACACAGTGGTGGTGGGTCAGTATACAGTACACAGTGGTGGTGGTGGGTCAGTATACAGTACACAGTGGTGGTGGGTCAGTATACAGTACACAGTGGTGGTGGTGGGTCAGTATACAGTACACAGTGGTGGTGGGTCAGTATACAGTACACAGTGGTGGTGGTGGGTCAGTATACAGTATACAGTACACAGTGGTGGTGGTGGGTCAGTATACAGTACACAGTGGTGGTGGTGGGTCAGTATACAGTACACGGTGGTGGTGGTGGTGGGTCAGTATACAGTACACAGTGTTGGTGGTGGGTCAGTATACAGTACACAGTGGTGGTGGTGGGTCAGTATACAGTACACAGTGGTGGTGGTGGTGGGTCAGTATACAGTACACAGTGGTGGTGGTGGGTCAGTATACAGTACACAGTGGTGGTGGTGGTGGTGGGTCAGTATACAGTACACGGTGGTGGTGGTGGTGGGTCAGTATACAGTACACAGTGTTGGTGGTGGGTCAGTATACAGTACACAGTGGTGGTGGTGGGTCAGTATACAGTACACAGTAGTGGTGGTGGTGGGTCAGTATACAGTACACAGTGGTGGTGGTGGTGGGTCAGTATACAGTACACAGTGGTGGTGGTGGGTCAGTATACAGTACACAGTGGTGGTGGTGGGTCAGTCTACAGTACACAGTGGTGGTGGTGGGTCAGTATACAGTACACAGTGGTGGTGGTGGGTCAGTATACAGTACACAGTGGTGGTGGTGGTGGGTCAGTATACAGTACACAGTGGTGGTGGTGGTGGTGGGTCAGTATACAGTACACAGTGGTGGTGGTGGTGGGTCAGTATACAGTACACAGTGGTGGTGGTGGGTCAGTATACAGTACACAGTAGTGGTGGTGGTGGGTCAGTATACAGTACACAGTGGTGGTGGTGGTGGGTCAGTATACAGTACACGGTGGTGGTGGTGGTGGGTCAGTATACAGTACACAGTGGTGGTGGTGGTGGGTCAGTATACAGTACACAGTGGTGGTGGTGGTGGGTCAGTATACAGTACACAGTGGTGGTGGTGGGTCAGTATACAGTACACAGTGGTGGTGGTGGTGGGTCAGTATACAGTACACAGTGGTGGTGGTGGGTCAGTATACAGTACACAGTGGTGGTGGTGGTGGGTCAGTATACAGTACACAGTGGTGGTGGTGGTGGGTCAGTATACAGTACACAGTGGTGGTGGTGGGTCAGTATACAGTACACAGTGGTGGTGGTGGTGGGTCAGTATACAGTACACAGTGGTGGTGGGTCAGTATACAGTACACAGTAGTGGTGGGTCAGTATACAGTGGTGGTGGTGGGTCAGTATACAGTACACAGTGGTGGTGGTGGTGGGTCAGTATACAGTACACAGTGGTGGTGGTGGTGGGTCAGTATACAGTACACAGTGGTGGTGGTGGTGGGTCAGTATACAGTACACAGTGGTGGTGGTGGTGGGTCAGTATACAGTACACAGTGGTGGTGGTGGTGGGTCAGTATACAGTACACAGTGGTGGTGGTGGTGGGTCAGTATACAGTACACAGTGGTGGTGGTGGTGGGTCAGTATACAGTACACAGTGGTGGTGGTGGGTCAGTATACAGTACACAGTGGTGGTGGTGGTGGGTCAGTATACAGTACACAGTAGTGGTGGTGGTGGGTCAGTATACAGTACAGAGTGGTGGTGGTGGTGGGTCAGTATACAGTACACAGTGGTGGTGGTGGTGGGTCAGTATACAGTACACAGTGGTGGTGGTACACAGTGGTGGTGGGTCAGGTCAGTAGTGGTGGTGGTGGTGGGTACAGTACACAGTGGTGGTGGTGGTGGGTCAGTATACAGTACACAGTGGTGGTGGTGGGTCAGTATACAGTGGTGGTGGTGGGTCAGTATACAGTACACAGTGGTGGTGGTGGTGGGTCAGTATACAGTGGTGGTGGTGGTCAGTATCAGTACACAGTGGTGGTGGTGGTGGGTCAGTATACAGTACACAGTGGTGGTGGTGGTGGGTCAGTATACAGTACACAGTGGTGGTGGTGGGTCAGTATACAGTACACAGTGGTGGTGGGTCAGTATACAGTACACAGTGGTGGTGGTGGTGGGTCAGTGTACAGTACACAGTAGTGGTGGTGGTGGGTCAGTATACAGTACAGAGTAGTGGTGGGTCAGTATACAGTACACAGTGGTGGTGGTGGTGGGTCAGTATACAGTACACAGTGGTGGTGGTGGTGGGTCAGTATACAGTACACAGTGGTGGTGGTGGTGGGTCAGTATACAGTACACAGTGGTGGTGGGTCAGTATACAGTACACAGTGTTGGTGGTGGGTCAGTATACAGTACACAGTGGTGGTGATGGTGGGTCAGTATACAGTACACAGTGGTGGTGATGGTGGGTCAGTATACAGTACACAGTGGTGGTGGGTCAGTATACAGTACACAGTGGTGGTGGTGGTGGGTCAGTATACAGTACACAGTGGTGGTGGTGGTGGGTCAGTATACAGTACACAGTGGTGGTGGTGGTGGGTCAGTATACAGTACACAGTGGTGGGTGGTGGGTCAGTATACAGTACACAGTGGTGGTGGGTCAGTATACAGTACACAGGTGGTGGTGGGTCAGTATACAGTACACAGTGGTGGTGGTGGTGGGTCAGTATACAGTACACAGTGGTGGGTCAGTGGTGGTGGTGGGTCAGTATACAGTACACAGTGGTGGTGGGTCAGTATACAGTACACAGTGGTGGTGGTGGTGGGTCAGTATACAGTACACAGTGGTGGTGGTGGTGGGTCAGTATACAGTACACAGTGGTGGTGGGTCAGTATACAGTACACAGTGGTGGTGGGTCAGTATACAGTACACAGTGGTGGTGGGTCAGTATACAGTACACAGTGGTGGTGGTGGGTCAGTATACAGTACACAGTGGTGGTGGTGGTGGGTCAGTACAGTACACAGTGGTGGTGGGTCAGTATACAGTACACAGTGGTGGTGATGGGGTCAGTATACAGTACACAGTGGTGGTGGTGGTGGGTCAGTATACAGTACACAGTGGTGTGGTGGTGGGTCAGTATACAGTACACAGTGGTGGTGGTGGGTCAGTATACAGTACACAGTGGTGATGGTGGGTCAGTATACAGTACACAGTGGTGGTGGTGGGTCAGTATACAGTACACAGTGTGGTGGTGGGTCAGTATACAGTACACAGTGGTGGTGGGTCAGTATACAGTACACAGTGGTGGTGTACACAGTGTGGTGGGTCAGTATACAGTACACAGTGGTGGTGGGTCAGTATACAGTACACAGTGATGGTGGGTCAGTATACAGTACACAGTGGTGGTGATGGTGGGTCAGTATACAGTACACAGTGGTGGTGATGGTGGGTCAGTATACAGTACAGAGTAGTGGTGGGTCAGTATACAGTACACAGTGGTGGTGGTGGTGGGTCAGTATACAGTACACAGTGGTGGTGGGTCAGTATACAGTACACAGTGGTGGTGGGTCAGTATACAGTACACAGTGGTGGTGATGGTGGGTCAGTATACAGTACACAGTGGTGGTGGGTCAGTATACAGTACACAGTGATGGTGGGTCAGTATACAGTACACAGTGGTGGTGGTGGTGGGTCAGTATACAGTACACAGTGTGGTGGTGGGTCAGTATACAGTGGTGGGTCAGTATACAGTACACAGTGGTGGTGGGTCAGTATACAGTACACAGTGGTGGTGGGTCAGTATACAGTACACAGTGGTGGTGGGTCAGTATACAGTACACAGTGGTGGTGGGTCAGTATACAGTACACAGTGGTGGTGGGTCAGTATACAGTACACAGTGGTGGTGGGTCAGTATACAGTACACAGTGGTGGTGGGTCAGTATACAGTACACAGTGGTGGTGGGTCAGTATACAGTACACAGTGGTGGTGGGTCAGTATACAGTACACAGTGGTGGTGGGTCAGTATACAGTACACAGTGGTGGTGGGTCAGTATA